CCCCATGATTTCTTTTCCTTTGTACGTCACCACTACTTTGTTGTAGTTCCAGGGGACGGCAGTGGGGTCCTTCATGGGATTCAGTGGTGCGCGGCTGACAACCACGGGCTCAGTCAGTCTGGGTGATATTATCGGCCCCCGCGCCACATAAGTCCTCTTTGGTACGTACATCTTTGGTACCTTCAGCGTAACCTTGTTTTGCTCAAACCTTTTGGGGGGACACAACACGAACTGTTCCTTTCTGGGGCCCTGGGAACATAAAGAATAGCCTTTTTAGGGGGTTCTGCCCCTGTCTTGGTTTCCACAACCTTTTCTATGCTTCGAGGAGTGGAGTTGCTTTTCTTCTCATCCTTAGCTTGCTTTGCTGCCGCTTTGGTGTTCTTTTCAACATCGGCAATAGCAATGATAGCTTTCAAAGCTAGGTCGAACTCTTTGTCCTCACAAATCATCCCAATAACTAGCCCGTTGTTATGAGCTGGTAATGGGTTATTGGTTACATTGGGGACCTCCTCATCCCTCAACACCACCCGCTATTGTTCTATCAGGTTCCCGACCGCTCTCTTAAGGGTCCAGCAATCTTTAGTGTCGTGCCCTTCTGCCCTTAAATGATAAGCACATCGGGTACCGGGTCGGTAGGAGGATGACTCTGGGATTTTCCTGTTCGGAGGTACGGGCTGCAACAAACCCATTGGACCAACTTTGGGAAGAGGCTGGAATATGATTCACCGATGGTTGTGAAGTTGGTTTTTCTGGGTGGTTAACGGGCACGGGCGTTATATGGAAAATTATTCTATGGTGGATGGAGATTATATGGAGCTTGGTGAGGAGGGTTATTTCTGGGAGGTGGAGCTCTGTTCTGGTTATACTGTTGTTGCGGCCGAGCGTATGGCTGGGCATTCATTACTGCATAAGGTTGAGGAGTCATGGCATATGCCGCATCTTGGTGAGGGTAGTAATATTGCGGGGTGCTTGAAGAGGAACCAAAGTAACCTCGGGGTTGACGGGGGTTTCTCAAACTTGAGGCCATCATTGCCACTTCTTCTTTCTTTTTCTGGTTTGCTGCAGCCCCCGACCTGCTCTGGATTGCTTGAGAGGTGGCACTTATAGCCGACTGGCTCAGGATACGACCCGTTTTCAAACCATTCTCCACCATTTCCCCAATCTTTATGGCTTCTGCAAATGGCTTGCCCATAGCGGACAACATGTTCTGGAAGTAATCAGCCTCTTGGGCTTGCAAGAAGACACTGACCATCTCGGTCTCATCCATTGGGGGTTTCACCCTAGCAGCTTGTTCACGCCACTTTATAGCATACTCTCGGAAGCTCTCCGAAGACTTCTTTTTGAAATTGGACAAAAGAGTTTCTATCTTG